GTAGCATCTCTTTTAAAGGACAGAACATTGCCTTAATGATGTGGCTAGTTAAAATTACATTTTTGGAGTATGATTTGGGAATTGGATTAGTGGCAATTCTGGTCTTTGTCAGTGATGGCAGAATAAGGGAGATTCTTGATAGAAACTCCAGAAAACCTACACCTGCGACTGCACAATGAAATACAACACATCATCTGCTTCTATAAGTTAGGAGAATAGATTTGTTCTATCATTAGCATCCCCGCCCTCCTCCCCATACCACCCAAGAGAGCCATAGCAAACAATGACAAAATGCAGGTTCTCATGAAGCTTACATTCTCCAGGGACTAAAGAAACAATATGGTACAGGGGGAAAAAGTAACATACCAACAAATAAAAGACAGTGAAGACCCTGAAGGAAATCAAATAAGGCACACAACGTTGCCTGCCATTAAGCCATCAGCTATTGCAGCTGCTCCTACAGTGTACCCTGAGGGGAATTCAGGAAGGAGAAAAAGGGGATATTGGCCCTAGATAGTAAAGATGTATATCAAAGGGATGATTTCAAGAAGCCAGACTCTTGCACGTTCCCATACATAGAAAAGTAGTAAAATCATTACCCTGAGATGAAGGGTTTTTTGTGTGATTATCAATATAATAATCTTTTGAGGTTCTACTACATTTTTTTCCAGTAAAACTCCTATATATCCTGGCTTCCCTTTCATCTCTTTGGAACAGTTCATCTGAGCTATCTGAGAGACTTCTTAGTCTATAGTCTTAGTCTTCCCAGGCTATAGTCCTCAGCAGGGTCTCAGAATAAAACACAACCCACAACTGTTAGGTTATGGGGTTTTGTTTTTAGTTGACAAAGGCAAACAGGATAGGGAGTGTGGGGCTTAGGAGGGCTACTTCAGATGGGGGGGTGTCTGGGAGGGCTAATGATAACGCAACATCTGGTTGTATATGTACATGATGAGATGCTGTGCACTTAGTTTGCTCAGTTGTATCTGACTCTATGGTTGCATGGACCATACCCCACCAGCTTCTCTCTCCATGGAATTTTCCATGCAAGAACATTGGGGCAGGTTGCCATTTCATACTCCAGGGGATCTTCCCAACCCAGGGATTAAACCCTCATCTCTTGTGATTCCTGAATCAACAGGTGGATTCTTTACCATTAGCACCACATGGGAAGCCCCTTGCACATGGTGATAAGTATCAATAGATGCATATGGTGGTGCAGAAAAAAGGGATCATTTCTCGAGCCTGTAGGATATTCAAACTGCTTCAACAGTCACCTGGTGGATAACGGTGCCCTCTTACATTTAAACTCAAACAGGAGAGTGAATAATCAGCTGAGAAGTAAGAGGTCACTTTTTTAGTTTGATATTTCCCTTTCGTCACAAATGCCTCTCTGAGTAAGCTAGTCCACCTTGTTTTTTGCAAAGAAGAATTTAAAGCCCACAAAACAAAAAACCCTAAAGGGGCACCATGTTCAAGAGGCTCACTCAGCAGTGCACCTCCACTAACAACAATGGTTGCTTCAGAGGAAGAGACCATTATGGGCTTATTGCTATTACCGTGCAGTGGGAGACAAAAATGGTTTAGAACCCAGGCATTAGGTGGGATATCAACAGACAGAAGCAAAGATGAACAAAACAGTCACTGCATTTTCCATGGCAGGCTGTCAAATAACAGCTTCATAATATTCGACTGTGTGAATTTCAAAATCTGAAACGCTCAGTCAGATTTTGTTTTCAAAACCCAATAGCTGGGGCTTCCATGGTGGTCGAGTGATTAAGAATTCACCATGCAATGCAGGGGAAATGGGTTCAGTTCCTGGTCTGGGAAGATCCCACATGCCACAGAGCGACTAAGCCCATGCAACACATGCTTGTGCTCTCGAGCCCAAGAACCGCAACGAGAGAAGCTACCGCAATAAGAAGCTCTGAGCCACAGCTCGAGAGTAGCCCCTGCCTGCTGCACCTAGAGAAAAGCCTGTACCACAACAAAGACTCAGTGCAGCCAAAAATAACAACAAATAAATCATTAAAAGGCCAAAACCCAACAGCTAAATATTGACGATGCAGTTTTGCTCTCTGGCGGGGCTGACTTCTGGCTTCCTTGGGTCAAGGTTATGGGGCCATCACTGCGTACTATTTTATCACTGTGGAACAGCAAGACTAGTAAATATCTACAATCTGAGAAGACTCATAGGATGTTAACAGTGAAGACTCAAAAGCCCCAAACACAAAGATTCTGTCAGTAGATTCAGAATAAAAAGAGAATCAACCTTTATATTAAAGTAACATGAAAAGTAATTCTTATGTAGGTAATATAAGAATCATACTTAGAAAAAATAGATTAGACAACTTTTGATATGTAGACTTGTTCTAAAAGGACAGTTTTCAAAACTATGTCATCCACCGAGATTATAGTTGTATGTACATGCATGCCCAGTCAGTTTAGTCACATCCAACTCTTTGTGACACTATGGACTGTAGCCTACCAAGCTCCTCTGTCCATGGGATTCTCCAGGCAAGAATACTGGAGTAGGTTGCCATGCCTTCCTTCAGGGAATCTTCCAGACCCAGGGATCGAACCCATGTCTCCTGTGTTACAGATAGATTCTTTACTGCTGAGCCACTGGGGAAGCCCAGCTGTATGTACAGCTGATTCTTAAAACCTGGGGGTTAACTCCCTCGAAGTGGAAAATCCATGTATAATTTATAGTCAGCCCAGATACATGCACTTCTGCATCTGCAGATTCCACCAACCACTGATCTATATTACTATAGTATTTACTACTGAAAAAATGCCTATATAAGTGAACCCTCCCCATTCAAACTTCTGTTATTCAAGGGTCAAATGCATGTGGATGCTTTCTTTTAGCCATTTAATATTACACAAAGGGTTTGAGATGGCCCAGGTAATTCATATGGGAGAAATCCTGTGATCACACAGGAAACAACTGAAAGATGTCCAAAAGAATATAATCTATCAAAAACTGTAAAAAAAAAAAAAAATCAAAAATTTCCAAAAACTGTAATCTAAAAACAAACAAACAGCTTAAGCTAAAATACAACGGTAATAATGATAAGAACCACATTCAACAATTTATATCTGAGTGCTGTACTCCAAAAATTATTCCAACATCACCACCAAAGCTAACAAAATCATTAAAAATTTTGGCCGGATCACTGGGACATGAAAAAGTAGTCAGTACTAGAGTCAGAGGGTCTACAGCCATGGTAGTCAGCCATACTAGATTCGGTGCTTGTTGGGTTTTTTTGCTTTTATTTTTTAAGTTTTATTGCCATTTTTAATTGATATACAATTCAAATAACATAAAAGTTACCATTTTCAAATGCAGTAGGTTTTAAAAATATTCATAATGTTGCACAACTATCACCACTAATTCCACCACTAATCATCCCCAAAAGAAACTCCTTCTCAGTACTCATTTCCCATTCCCTTTTTCCTACAGTCCTTGGTAACCACTAATCTACTTTTTGTCTCTATTCAGTGCCTGCTTGCCTAGGAAAGATTTTAATGTTCCATTCAGAATCCTGAAATAAAAATTTGAGATCGTATAACCTATACAGTCATATACATTTCAGCTGTTTCCTTCGTGTACTCTACCAACCTGCGCACGCCTCTTGACAAGGTCTGAATTTCTCCCCTGTTACTCCTATGCCTTTGCAGTGTTCTGTGAATGGCTGAAGGAATTCCATTAAATAGATACTGCACAAAGTAAGCATCTAACTCATCTGCTAGTTTGGGGATTTATATTTGAATATTGATTTTTTTAAAAGTCTAGCAACTGGATTTCTGTTTTTCAAAAAACAATTTCAAAATGAAGCTACTCCTATTAGACTTTTTTTTTTCCTTTCTTTCTTTTTTTTTTTTTTTACCATCTGCATGTTTGGAAGCTAGGCACAGAGGTTGAGAAAAGCTGAGAATCCCATCTTTATCACACTGTGTGTCTGGAGCAAGGCTAAGCTCTTTTTTATCATAAGGAATTACATTTGCTCCTTAAAGAACTTCCCAGAGATTCTATGTTAAAAGCCCCGTGGTAGCTGTGTTAAGCATTATAGCCACATGCAGATGAGCATTAAAGGCGCAGTAAGTTTATTTGGCATTGCTTGGTACCAAGCATTACCTTACTTGCTCACAGCCAGTCTCAAAGCCATAAAACCTTATTTCACAAAAATGTAACATTAACACCCCAGTTAGACTTGCTTCTGATTTCTAACATGGAGGGGGAAAAAAAAGAACTTTTCTATGATTTTGGCTTAGGAACTAACTCTATAGGAATTTGCATTTGTATGAAGGGGACTAAAACTCAGCTTCAGAATCATCCAGGATTTCATTCTCTTGTTTTATTTTATTAAGAAAGCAGACACTATCCTAATAAATCCTCCTTCCCTCTTCTGGCGCACTTAAAACCCATTTCTGACTGTCACATTGAACTTTGGTATTAAGTACAAAGGGAGGGAAAGAGTAGGGGTGTGGGTGGAGAGAAACAGAACAGAGGGGAGCACAGGGTGAGGAGTGAAGGGACAACCCAAATGTGGGGCCAGTGCATGAGCAAGCCCTCCACTCAACATCAGCAAAGCACAAAAGAGATGGCATAGAGAACTAGAAGGCTGTCAGTAGGGCCCCGGCCTCACAGGAGACACAGCAATCCATACCGGACATCTGTGCTGTTTCCTACACACCACCTCCCATGAGCTCCTTGAACCCTGGCTTGCATTTCAGGACTCCGTGATTTAGTTTCTGTTTGAGCATTTGGACAATAATAATTTTACTACAAAAGGTAAATGTCTTACAAACTAATGGGAAACATATTGCTTGGCAAAGTTTATAATGTCAGGATTTATGGCTCTAACGCCAAGGGTCTCTCTGACCTCGAAGATAACATAGTGAAACAGTAATGTGCTCTAAATGACTCAGTGTGATTTTTTATTAGTTCTTGTAATCACCCCCTATTAATTTGTATGTACATAATAAGCACTCACCTTCACCGTCTGTCCAGCTTCAGGGCCATCCTAGAAATAGGAAAACAAAGGAAAAAAAAAAAACACAGAGGTAAGAACAGATAGATGGTATCTCCTGCTTATTCAGAAATACCGCCCATTAATAATTTAGATCCAATTTCATTGTGTGTTAATTTATAGTTTCCTCATGGGGACCATGAGCTTCAAATGTATGGAACCTGACAGTTCTCCATTTCTGTCTGGGAGTAAGTGAGAAGTTATGTATAAAAATAACACAAATTGTCCAGTGAGCCAACCCCCTTCCTACTTGTATGTTCTTTGCTTTCGGCTATGGTTTTAATGGCATTAAAGGAAGACTGGAAAGAATCATACCTTTTGGTTATCTTTAAACCAGATGTAGTTTAATTAATGCCTGATGACTTTAAGTCTCAACTTAGGAAATCTGCCATAAACATAATCCATTGGGCAAGAATATGGGCTCTCACACAGCAACAGAAGGGAGAGGGGGCCCTTTCTGGCTGTTCTGACCTTGAGAGAAAAGATGAAAGAAAGTGTTATTCCAGCTGGACTCTGTCCCTATCCTGGGTTCTCCCCTGGGATTTCAGAAGCCCAGCAAAACTGTTTGTTGAAATAGTTGAAAATAGGCAAACAAATCCAGTCATTAGCCAGAGCCAGACATCCTGGATGTCAAGTCAAGTAGGCCTTAGGAAGCATCACTACAAACAAAGCTGGTGGAGGTGATGGAATTCCAGTTGAGCTATTTCAAATCCTGAAATATGATGCTGTGAAAGTGCTGCACTCAATATACTAGCAAATTTGGAAAACTCAGCAGTGGCCACAGGACTGGAAAAGGTCAGTTTTCATTCCAATCCCAAAGAAAGGCAATGCCAAAGAATGCTCAAACTACCGCACAATTGGACCCATCTCACATGCTTGTAAAGTAATGCTTAAAATTTTCCAAGCCAGGCTTCAGCAATACATGAACTGTGAACTTCCAGATGTTCAAGCTGGTTTTAGAAAAGGCAGAGAACCAGAGATCAGATTGCCAACATTCACTGGATCATTGAAAAAGCAAGAGAGTTCCAGAAAAACACCTACTTCTGCTTTATTGATTATGCCCAAAGCCTTTGACTGTGTGGATCACAATAAACTGTGGAAAATTCTGAAAGAGATGGGAATACCAGACCATCTGACCTTCCTCTTGAGAAACCTGTATGCAAGTCAGGAAGCAACAGTTAGAACTGGATATGGAACAACAGACTGGTTCCAAATAGGAAAAGGAGTATGTCAAGGCTGTATATTGTCACCAAGCCTATTTAACTTATATGCAGAGTACATCATGAGAAATGCTGGGTTGGAAGAAGCACAAGCTGGAATCAAGACTGCCAAGAGAAATATCAATAACCTCAGATATGCAGATGACACCACCCTAATGGCAGAAAGTGAAGAAGAACTAAAGAGCCTCTTGATGAAATTAAAGAGGAGAGTGAAAAAGTTGGCTTAAAGCTAAACATTCAGAAAACAAAGATCATGGCATCCAGTCCCATCACTTCATGGCAAATAGATAGCTAAATAGTGGAAACAGTGGCTGACTTTATTTTTCTGGGCTCCAAAATCACTGCAGATGGTGACTGCAGCCATGAAATTAAAAGACGCTTACTCCTTGGAAGGAAAGTTATGACCAACCTAGACAGCAAATTAAAAAGCAGAGACATTACTTTGTCAACAAAGGTCCGTCTAGTCAAGGCTATGGTTTTTCCAGTGGTCATGTATGATGTCAGAGATGGACTATAAAGAAAGCTGAGCACCGAAGAATTGATGCTTTTGAACTGTGGTGTTGGAGAAGACTCTTGAGAGTCCCTTGGACTGCAAGGGGATCCAACCAGTCTATCCTATAGGAGATAAGTCCTGGGTGTTCATTGGAAGGACTGATGTTGAAGCTGAAACTCCAACAATTTGGCCACCTGATGTGAAGAGCTGACTTATTTGAAAAGACCCTGATGCTGGGAAAGATTGAAGGCAGGAGAAGAAGGGGACGACAGAGGATGAGATGGTTGGATGGCATCACTGACTCAATGGACAGGGGTTTGGGTGGGGTCCAGGAGTCGGCGATGGACAGGGAGGCCTGGCGTGCTGTGGTTCAGCATACTGAACGACTGAACTGAACTGAAAGCAAAAGTAAATGTTCATCTGTTTTATACTAGCAGAACAAGCAGTATTTTTAAAGTCAGAAATTTCAAAATTAAAGTAGAACTCAGCAAGTTTAGGAAAGTCTTTTGACTCCTAGGACCCAGACTATTTGGGGTGAGAATTTGTAGCCAAGAAGAAGCAGACCTGTGTCATCAATGGTTTTCAGACTCATTGGTTCTCAATCATTAGTGGGTCCTAAAGTCAACCTGATGGGTTGTGATGTGCACTACAGACAAAAGAAATCATGTAAGAGGAAGAAAACAAAAGGAAAACAAAACTACTGTGTTGGCCAAAAAGTTTGTTTGGACGTTTTCTTTTTTATGACTTCTTACAGAAAACTCTTAACGGACTTTTTTGGCCAACCCAGCATCAGGCTGCATGTGTGCTCAGTCGCTCAGTCATGTCTGACTCTTTGCGACCCCACGGACTGTAGCCTGCCAGCTTCCTCTGTCCATAGAATTCTCCAGGCAAGAATACTAGAGTGGGTAGCTGTTCCCTTCTCCAGGGGATCTTCCCGACCCAGGAATCAAACCCAAATCCTCTGCATCTACTGTACTGGCAGGTTGATTCTTTATCACTGAGCCACACGGGAAGCCAATATTACACTGCACAAAATGGGGAAACATTGTCATGGGAGAGAGTTCAATGTGAAAGGATGAAAAATACTTTCTGAGCTCTGTGTATACTCACCTGCATGGAGAACGTGAGCGAGGTGCCCTGGAAGTGCTTCTCCACCACTGTGCCGACTCTCTGGGCAGCCTGAAACAAGTCAGCCACTTCTTCGGGACTCATGTCTCGGAAGCGCTCCACTGGCCGGAGAGGACAAATGAGGACGTCTGCGGTGAGGTCTGTTAAGGTACATTCTGCTTGCTTTAGGGAACGTTTTCGCCAAGAAGTTTATACCCATAGCACTGAATCAGGCCTGGGGCCTGAACTCACAAAGGCGAAGGGATAAAAGAACAAATATTTACCAACCACTGAACTCCAAGGAGTTCAAACAGAGCTGACAAACATGGCTAATTATACTCTGAAGGAGAAGCTGTAGTGCCCTGAGAAAGTTCTTTTAAGAGAAAAAGACATCGATGTTCAAAAAGGCTTAAGTGCTGGCTGAAGTTATTATGCCATGAGGCACGATTATTCTGGACTATCATCTCCTGGACTCTATTCTGAAGCTCAGTCTTCTCAAGGAGCCAAAGGCTCTGGGTTGGAAAAGCAACTGGAATATTTATTTGGTTTTTCTATGAAGAGCATCATGGTTAAGACTTTAACATCTCTCTAGAAGAATAGCTAATGAAAAGATAATAGCAGCTTTCTTTTTTAAAGGAGTATAGACATTCTGAAAATGTACAGCCAACTTCATTTATAACAAGGAGATGTGCCACATGGGTAAGCAATTTAGGTTGTCTGATTGTGCAATTGAAACCATCTTAATCTATTCTATTAGTCAGACTAGTCAACATGTTTACATTATTGGTCTGAACAAACAAAAGTCTAGAGAAAAAGCATACATGTTTGATCATTTGTGGGTAGCAAATAAATATTCAATGTCACATCATCGATAGCATTTCACTTCCTTTTTGTATTTGAACTCATCATATATGTATGGGCATACACATAGACACATGTACACATACATATGTACACACACACAAGCTACCCTGAATTTCTTGTTTATTTTTCAGGTACCAGCAGGAGAAAAAAAGCTAACGTTCTTTTCTGTGTCTTTCGTTTTTCTTGTTTTAAAAAAAAGCATGCTTCTGCCTTGAGCCAAGGAGCTAAGGGGCATAATAAAACCACAAGTTTGCAATTGCTAGTCTCTCCAGAATATCAAGCATTTTAGCTCCCCATACTATTGGTAGGACTCAGGGCCCAGGGGAAGTGCACTGAGCTCAGCTGGGCGGGTTTGATTTCCATAAGACAAGGGGGGAAAAGAAAAAGGGAAAAGTGATTACTTTTGCTCATAACCAGGAAATTCATGTCAATGGTAAACTAGGAAAAGGAGTATTTGTTTAATCTCAGTTCATTTTTCAAGAGAGGAGAAGGGAGGCCTTTACCCACAGGGCATCTGATACTTAAAAAGATAATTATCCTTCTTTGCAGGGCTGCTTTATTATCATGGGTCAATGAACCGTTTAGAAATGAAGAATTTCCTTTCATTTCCTTTTAGCAGATTGCCAGCCTCCACTCCCACTGAGTTGCTTTTTTTTTTTTTTTTTGGTCGTTGTTAAAAGAGACCTTTCCCAGTCTTCCTCCTCTCTGCTTTAATTTACACCCTCCCTTAGGCTCTGACTTCACCAAACCACAGCAAGCTGACAACTTTGCAAGCTTCCAACAACATTCATAATTACTGTGGCTGGCGATATCTACACACAGCAACTAGGTGGGGAAGGGAATAATATTTTATTTAAACAACTGCTGACTGTGAAAACGGGTGGAATGAATCTGGCAATCTTTGTGTATAATGTAAATTTAGTAATATGAGTAATATGTAAAATGCTTTTCATTTTCAATGTCATAAAAATCGCAATACCTGTTCATTTTGCTTGCCTGATGCTAAAGGCTTAGCTTAACCTAATGTTTAATGACTCCAGCTGTTTATGAAACTGAACCAAAATGGCAGAATTGAGGTATTTTATCTTATGTATACCAAACTGCAGGGTGATACATCACATACATTTATCATTTTAACTGAATATTAGTAATACAACATGTCACAAAACAGTTAAACAGACTTAACACATTCTCATTTAGGTAAATATTTTTCACCAACCCATTTAGGCAACACTGTCCTGACGTAATATTCCCGGCAACCCAACGCTTTAATAAAAAGTCATCTTATCTACATATAACACACACACACACACACACACACACACACACACACACACATCTTGATGCAAAAAAAAAAAAAAAGTGAAATGGAGATTACTGTCAAACGTGCTTACTTCAGCTGGTAGTCATATGTATGATCACTTCTTTGTTCTGTTGGGACCCTGAGGATGACCACACAGACATCTAAACCTAGAAATGACCCATACAGGCGGGCTCCACGTCACTCTACAGGGAGTCAGTGGGGCCTGGCTTACACATAGTGGGGGTCGGCAGCCCCTGGGTGCAATGTGAGTAGCTGATCTGGCCAGTAGCAGGCTTGCTCAGCAACCCACTCCCTGGGGTCATTCCAGGCACCAATTTGGCATCAGAAAGTCAGGATCAACGATCTTCTCTCAGTTCCTCTGCATCCAGAGCAGAGCCTGAGTCTCACCCTCAGCGTAGGCTGCATCCCGAGTGATGCTTACCCACCTTCCGAGTCTCTTTTTCCTCACCACTCTCCTGTATACTATGTTGTTGCTGTTTAGTTGCTAAATCATGTCTGATCTTTGAAACTCCATGGGCTGTAGTCTGCCAGGCTCCTCTGTCCTTGGGATTCTCCAGGCAAGAACACTGGAGTCGGTTGCCATTTTTGCCTCCAGGGGATCTTCCCCACCTAGAGATCGAACAGCATCCCCTGTCTGGGTAGGGGGGTGCTTTTCCACCGAGTCACGTGGGAAGCCCTTGTATACTAACCGTCTGCGATATTTGCTTTCTTTCTGTTCTCCAAACACACTAAGCTCCTTCCTAGATTTGGGGGGTTTTGTTCCGGTTATTTGTTCTGACTGGATCAATTCCCCCTGATCTTTCCATGGCTGCTTCTAATTCAGATCCTAATCTGAATGCCAGTCTCTCAAAAGAGCATTTAACTGCTAGGGTGTTTATCTTCTACCTATACTCACTCTCCCATCCCCCTGTTTTAATCTTTCCATAGCCCTCGCCACCAGCTGGCACTTTTGTTGCTTCATTACTATGTATCCAGATGAGAATGGAAACTCCACACAAGCGAAGCATGTGTCTTGTTTACTGCTAATTTACCACCACCTACACCACCAGAGATACTTAATATGTCTTGCTGGAACGAGAGAATAAATAGCAAACCAGATCTTTGCATCAGGCACTTCCGAGGACTAAGATCCTGACGAAAAGCTGACGACTTTACAATCATTTACACGAGATTGGGATAGTCTGCAATATATGTTTTTAATTCAAAGAAGTTTATCCTTCAGATCTAGCATGGTTAGAACTAATGTTGGATGAGAGCTAGAGAAACGTCAACTCATTTTTAATGTAAACTAATTTTCATGTGAGCCCAAAGGGAAGTAAAACTATAAAGGTAAAATCCTTTAAAAAAAAAAAAAACTCTCTTATACCTGGAAAATAGTCGTTCCTACCTAGAATACTTGGGGTCTCAGACAAACTTTATCTATTAAAGCTCACACAGCAATAAAGACCCAGCCTGTTCAAAAAAATTTTTTAAATGAATAAATAAAATTAACTCACAACTCTCATATTAAAAAGGAGAAAATAGCATACTACTCTAAGACAGTGGGTACCATGTGCTGCATGTTGTTCCTAGAGAAACAACTCAGGGAAAGCAAATTAATCTTGAAGAAGAGCAGACAGCTCTCAAAATTCTGCTGCCACTGTTTATATGCCAATTGGTTTAAGGTACTATCACAGATGCAACGTAATTTAATTTGAAGCCTCTTAGGCCTTGTTAGTGGGCAAATCCCATATTACTCATAGGCCACAAGAACACCCTTTCTCCTGGGTCCTCTTGGTGCATAATTAACACCTCTGAAGAGACTTTTCAGCCAACATGCATGATAACCCTCCAAGAAGGCAATCTACTCTGTTGAATTTACTATGTTTATCCAGTACTCATCATGTCTGAAAGGCTGTGAAAGAGATTATCAAATGGGATCTAGTCTCACCCTATAATCTAAAGTAGAGACATTCATTTAGTAATAACTTTTTTTTTTTAAGAAGAGAAGATCAACAATCTTGATTTAGTTCCTGTGGTCGACCAAGGGATTTCTCATAGCTGAAGAAAACCAACAAAGGCATTTAAGTTCAGATGAGATTTACAATGGGCTTCACAATAGGAGTGAACCAGCCAGAAGTTTGGCTGGCAACCCATTCATCCATCCATCCTACGTCAATAGCCTGCTTTCAGTCTGGGGTTTATGTGAAGACCTAGGATGCAAAGATGAATGCAACAGACTAACTGACTTTGAAGAGTTCACCCTCTATTATTCCAAACTGTCATGTAGCATTAACAGATCCTATGACACAGAGAAAGTGCAATGTTAGTCGCTCAGTCATGTCAGACTCTTTGTGACCCCATCGACTGCAGCCCGCCAGGCTCCTCTGTCTGTGGGATTCTCCAGGCAAAATTACTGGAGTGGGTAGCCATTCCCTCCTCCAGGGGATGTTCCTGACTCAGGGATCGAACCTGGGTCTCCTGCACTGCGGGCAGATTCTTTACGATCAGAGCCCCCAGGGAAGCCCATGATGCAGTGAAGTGAAAGTCGCTCAGTCGTGTCTGATTCTTTGCAACCCAATGGACTATACATGGGAATGGAATTTTCTAGGCCAGAGTACTGGAGTGAGTAGCCTTTTCCTTCTCCAGGGGATCTTCCCAACCCAGGGATTGAGTCCAGATCTTCCACATTGCAGATGGATTCTTTACCAGCTGAGTCACAAGGGAAGCCCCATGATGCAGAGATGAGTGCTAGTGATAGAAATCAGTACAGACTGTTGTGGGAGCACAGAGGAGGCAGATCTAACTGACTAGGGGTCTTAGATCAACTTTTCAGTGTGGTTCTGCATTTCCATCTTCTAAAATCAGAAAGTTTTTCTCTAAATTTGGACCAAAATTTTGTCCTTGAAAATGGCCTAGCAATGGATGCATCAAAGTTGCTGGGCATTCTTCCTT